GGCCACCATTGAGTCTTGATCAAAATGATGAAGAAATTATTGGCTCTGTAGAGACTAAAAGGAAAGGACATTTGTCACATGCACGTTGCATTGACATTTTAAGCAGTTATACATTCCTAGGAATCTCAATTTCATTTTTCAGAATATACTTTATAGAAAAATTTTTTACAATAAATCTATTTTACAGAATAAAGCATGATTATTTCCCTCTTTTTAAATAATAAATAGCAGATTAGATTATTATGTTCACTAACAGTGCAGCTAACACCACTTTGGTTGGCCCCCAGGCTGAGTATCATGCGCTATGCCGTATCACTTGAATGGATGGAGCGACATCTGGAAACGCACCAGTGGTAGTTAGAGCTGCACTGTATAAATCTCATAGATCCACATGTAAAGCAGAAAGCATGTTTAAATTGCAAGAGTTCTGTTAGAATTAAACAGCTCAAACTGTCCATGACTTTTCTTCCTTTGGGATGGCAGGATAAAGAAAAGACTTAACGGTAATTCTCTCTTTTTATTTTCTGCTGATGACTTTGAGCTCTGTATTGGTTCTTTTGTCTTCTGGTATTTCCCCGCATTGGTTCTCTGCTGGTCCATTAAAGGAATATTTCTGTTATTTCCCAGTGATAGCTATACCTAGTTTGTCTTGAAGGAAATAAAGCCTGTCCTTTCTTATCCCTGTACAGGCTGGTTCATAGATTATTAATAAGTGATGTGTCCCACCTGGTAAGTCCTCATTTTCAGCCCGGTGTGTGAGCAAGTTCTGACGTTGGACTTCGGGCTGCTGCAGCCCACATTTATCTGAGAACAGCAAAGGGACATTTGTTGGCCAGCGTGTCCATTCTTGAAGATTTCTTCAGAAAAGGATTATTTGGTATTGTATTATTGGATTCTGCAGCACACTGATGCCATGCTGTTTGAAAATAAGGCATTGGAAAGATTTTGGAATAAGGGGCGATTAGAAGAGGTGGTTTGGTTAACAAGGCAAAGTAAAGGTTGGAAGAGCTGACTGCTGCCTATAAATAATCCAAGAGGCAAGAAGCACAGCACTAGGGAAGGGGGGCATTCATGCAAGGTAATGAACATCGTTTGCATGTGTAAAAATGCATAAAGGGCTGCCAATATGTATGGATAGACTGGAGATTTGATGTGGTTTAGTCATTTAGGCAGTTAGGCCTACAGCAGCCTGCCAGGGGGGACAGCAGAGCCAGAAAAATCAAGCTGTGATTGCATTCAAGGTGTTTGTGAGGAGTTTGAGATAATGCCTGGATAGCAAGGGCTGGATCTGAGCACCCAATGGGTCTCTGCCAGTCCAACATCCTAAACATGTGCATATTAAGGCCTATCAGTGAAACGGAGAAGGGAGCAGCAGTAACTGGTGGGTGAGGTTTGATGAGACCATGGGCTGCAGTGCAAGAAAAAAAGTAAAAGCCATAAGGAGCTGCGACTTTCACAACTGCACTGGGTGTCTCCATTCACGGAGTAACACTAAGATCATGTTTTCCTGTCAACACCAGCTGAAAAACGAAGCTTGAAATAATAAATGCATGAGGGACACCCCTACTGAGCCGCTGCAGTCAAGACGGGGAGTCAACCTGGCAGTACTGTTCAACTTGCCTGTAAAGGAGGCAAAAGCCTCAGTTTTCTTAAAAAAACATGTCCTGGGCTGAGGAGGAGGAAAGGAAGGCGACAGGGCTGCCATGGCTGGACGCCCTCCCTCCACACGGGAGCCCCAGGCGGCACGGCCACACGCAGGGGTCAGACCCAGGGTCCCGGTCCCGGCGCCACACACCTTCCCCCTTCCCGCGCTCTCCCTCACGGGCAGGTAGGCCAAGAGGGGGAGGGAGAGGAAGGCAAACTGCCGTCCGATTGGCTAGCACTCCTGCCAATCAATGCCCGCTGCGGCGCGGAGCCGCAGGGAGACGTCAGGAGAGGGGCGGGGCACGCGCCCGTG